CCAAGGTGGACCGAGCACTTGAGCCCAGGAGCTTGAGACAGCCTAGGCAACATGGCAAAACCTCCACAAAAAATACAAAAAAATTTAGCCAGGCATGGTGGCATGCACCTGTAGTCCCAACTGCTTAGAAGGCTGAGATGGGAGGATCCCTTGAGCCCAGGAGGTGGAGGCTGCAGTGAGTAAGTGAGTACAGTGAGTGCACCACTGCCTCCAGCCTGAGCAACACAGACCCTGTCTCAAGAAATAATAATAATAATAACAATAGCTGCTAACATTACCAAGTGCTTGGTGAGGAGGGTTCTAGGACCTTCATATGTGTAACTCAGTCAACCTTCACAACAACCGTATGAGGTAGGGACTACTGTCATCTTCCCCATTTTACAGACAAGAAAACCGAGGCATAGCGTTGGGCGCAGTGGCTCATGCCTATAATCCTAGCACTTTCGGAGGTCGAGGTAGACCAGTTGCCTGAGCTCAGGAGTTCAACACCAGCCTGGGCAACATGATGAAACTCTGTCTCTACTAAAATACAAAAAATTAGCCAGGCACGGTGGTACACACCTGTTGTCCCAGCTGCTCGGGAGGCTCAAACACGAGAATTGCTTGAACTTGGGAGGCAGGGGTTGCAGTAAGCCAAGATCGCACCACTGCACTCCAGGCTAAGCAACAGAGCAAGGCCCCATCTCAAAAAAGAAAAGAAAAAAAAGAAAACTAGGCTGGGCGTGGTGGCTCATGCCTGTAATCTCAGCACTTTGGAAAGCCAACGCATGGATCAACTGAGGTCAGGAGTTCGAGACCAGCCTGGACAACATGGTGAAACCCTACCTCTACTAAAAATACAAAAAATTAGCTGAGCATGGTAGCAGGCGCCTGTAATCCCAGCTCCTCAGAGGCTGAGGGAGGAGAATCACTTGAACCCATGAGGCGGAGGTTGTAGTGAGCCAAGATTGCACCGTTGCACTCCAGCCTGGGCAGCAAGAGTGAAACTTCATCTCAAAAAAAAAAAAAGAAGGAAAGAAAGAAAACTGAGGCACAAAGAGACTAAACAACTTGCTGCAGGTTACACTGATATTGACTGACATCTGTATTTTTGCTGTTTTGCTGCTGAAACTGGGACCTAAGATATTCATTCCATGAAATACAAGGGAGGATGTTAAATCATCAGGTTGGTCTTCATCTCAAACAACAGAGGCCATTAATTCCTGATGTGAGATGAGGCTGCCACTACAAACTGACTAATCTTGAGATTAATGTCCAAGATGAGATGGCATATCTGTTCCTGAGATCATGCCCATTAACAGATCTGGATGCTGTATTGCCTCGAAGGTAGTCAAATAATTGCCAAGCTTTATAATTTTTTTTTTTTTTTTTTTTTGACACAGGGTCTCGCTTTGTCACCTAGGCTGGAATGTAGTGGTGCAATCACAGCGCACTACAATTTCAACCTCCTGGGCTCAAGCAGTCCTCCCACCTCAGCCTCCTAAGTGAGACTACAGGTGCATGCCACCACTCCCAGCTAATTTTTTTAAATTTCTTATATAGACAAGGTCTCCCTATGTTGCCCAGGCTGGTGTAGAACGCCCGGGGTTCAAGTGATCCTCCCCGCTCAGCCTCCCAAAATGTGGGATTATAGGCATGAGCCATGGTGCCCAACCTACGAAGTTTGTTTTTAAGACAGAATCTCACTCATTGCCCAGGCTGGAGTGCACTGGTGCGACCTCAGCTCACTGCAACCTCCACCTCATGGGTTCAAGCAACTCTTGCTTCAGCCTCCTAAGTAGCTGGGATTGCAGGCATGAGCCACCACGCCTAGCTAATTTTTGTATTTTTAGTAGAGACAGGGTTTCACCATGTTGGCTGGACTGGTCTCAAACTCCTGACCTCAAGTGATCCTCCCCACACTGCCTCCCATAGTGCTGGGATTACAGGCATGAGCCACCATGCCCAACCTACCAAGTTTCTAAATGACAGCCCCATTGCCCTTTCTCCTGTCATCTAAGTGTCATTGTCACCAGATATTCTTCCCCACAGAATGTCTTCAACAGAAAAAAGTTCCCAAGTTTTTTACTCTATGCAAATCTAAATGAAGACATTTCTCTACTACAGACAAAGCAGTGTTTCAATGTCTTTAAATTTTATTTGCCCATAATTAGGAAACGGAAGAAATAAAATGTGGCCCTAAAAAGTTTCTGGTCTTACTCATCACATCGGTGAAACAGTTTCAACACATTTACAGCTCTTCAAACCACAGTTTAAAAAAATAAAAAGCCAAAAAAAACACCTAACCACCTCCAATGAAAGGCACTCCTAAGCCGGGTGCGGTGGCTCTCACCTGAAATCCTGGTACTTTGGGAGGCTGAGACAGGTGGATACCTGAGCTCAGGAGTTTGAGACCAGCCTGGCCAACATGGTGAAACCCCATCTCTACTAAAACTACAAAACTTAGCTGGGCATGGTAGCGGGCGCCTGTAATCCCAGCTACTTGGGTGGCAGGAGAATTGCTTGAATCCAGGAGGCAGAGGTTGCGGTGAGCCAAGATCACACCATTGCACCCCAGCCTGGGCAACAGAGCAAAACTCCATCTCAAAAAAAAAGAAAGGCGCTCCTAGAGAGAACAGAGACTTTTTTTTTTTTTTTTTTGAGACGGAGTCTTGCTCTGTCGCCCAGGGTGGAGTGCAGTGGCCGGATCTCAGCTCACAAGCTCCACCTCCCAGGTTTACACCATTCTCCTGCCTCAGCCTCCTGAGTAGCTGGGACTACAGGCGCCCGCCACTACGCCCAGCTAGGTTTTTTTTTGTATTTTTAGTAGAGACGGGGTTTCACCGTGTTAGCCAGGATGGTCTCAATCTCCTGACCTCGTGATCCGCCCGTCTCGGCCTCCCAAAGTGCTGGGATTACAGGCTTGAGCCACCGCGCCCAGCCTTTTTTTTTTTTTGAGACAAAGTTTCATTCTGTCACCTAGGCCAGGCTGGAGTGCAATGGCATGATTCCAGCTGACGCCCTCCCAGTTTCAAGCAATTCTCTTGCCTCAGCCTCCCAAGTAGCTGGGATTACAGGCATGCTCCACACGGCCAGCTAATTTTTGCATTTTTAGTAGACATGGGGTTTTACCATGTTGGCCAGGCTTGTCTTAAACTCCTGACCTCAAGCGATCTGCCCTTCTCAGCCTCCCAAAGTGCTGGGATTACAGGCGTGAGCCCGTACCCAACCCAGAAAACTTTCTTTTAAAGAGAAAATTAAACCTGCTTTCACCTTTCTGGATGTGTTGGAGATTTTAGCACTTGGTTGCCGACTAAAGAAAACAGTGAAACTTAAACCACTGCCATCTCATACCAGAGACAGCAATTATAACCATGAGGAGTAAACACAGGTGGTGGACACTAATGGGGTGCATCCAAGTCAGGTCACAGTACAGGACGCAAGCAGCAGGGACCTGCCTGTTTAAACCTTCAGACTTTCGACAGCACCCTCAGCCTGCCTCACTTTCCTCTTCAATAACTGAGATGCTACCAAGAGGAACGTCCCACGACAGAATAATAAAATTGTTTTCAAGAATCATTATAGTTCATCTAAGCAAATCTACAAAGAGGGCATGTGGCTTCAGACGGTGTCGCTACAGTCAGTAGCTCATCAAGGCAGCCTCTGCATTCTCTGCTGCTGATACGGGATAACACAATTCATGGAAAAAGAAATGCAAGACATTCCCCATCCAATACACATTAACTACCTTTTTTTGTCTGGAGGGAAAAATGTACAAAAATCTCACGGACAAAAAAAAAAAAAAAATTCCTAGCATTTTTGTGTATGGCCTGGAGCTCTGCATTATTTGGTATGATCTATGTGACCTATGCAACATGACGACTTAATCCTGAGCTATTAAAGGCAGGTTCATTCATCAAGGACCAAAACATTCACGTTCATTCAGCATTCAAGGGTCTGCTCTGCCCAAGAAGTTTTTTCACTCTTCATTGGTTCTACCAAGCATAAGCAAATCAAACGACTCATTGAGAGAACGTCACCAGCCAATAAAATAAGAAACTGCGGCCAGGCACGGTGGCTCACACCTGTAATCCCAGTACTCTGGGAGGCCGAGGTGGGCAGATCACAAGGTCAGGAGATCGAGACCACAGTGAAACCCCATCTCTACTAAATATACAAAAAATTAGCCGGGCCCGGTGGCGGGTACCTGTAGTCCCAGCTACTAGGGAGGCTGAGGCAGGAGAATGATGTGAACCCGGGAGGCGGAGCTTGCAGTGAGCCGAGATTGCGCCACTGCACTCCAGCCTAGGCAACAGAGCAAGACTCCCTCTCAAAAAAAATAAATAAATAAGAAATTGCTCCCAGGCCCTGAATCAGCGTTAAAATTGACCTCTGGGACTAGCTTCTCCTAATACATAAAATTATAAAAAGACTTAGGCACAGAACCTCCAGTCTGTTATACCAGGAAATTTTACACAATTATTCCAGAAATTAATCATTCTAACCCATTCGTGTATTCAATAAGATTGAAAATATTCAATAAAATCAGAACAAAATGTCTCATACAAGATTTCTGGGCGGGGCACGGTGTCTCATGCCTGTAATCCCAACACTTTGGGAGGCCGAGGCGGGTGGATCATGAGGTTAAGCAGTCGAGACCAGCTTGGCCAACATAGTGAAACCCCGTCTCTACTAGAAATACAAAAAATTAGCCGGGCATGGTGGTGGGCACCTGTAATCCCAGCTACTCAGGAGACTGAGGGAGGAGAATCACTTGAACCTGGGAGGCGGAGGTTGCAGTGAGCCGAGATCGCGCCACTGCACTCCAGCTCGAGTGACAGTGCGAGACTCCATCTCAAAAAAAAAATAGAAAATAAAATAAAATAAAAAAAAGATTTCTGACTCAACAGATTTTACAGTTTATTTAAATATTAGTCCTAACTCAAAGAAAAAAGTAGCCAATGAGTCTGCTTTATTTAAAGACTGCAAGTGAGCAGAGGCCGGAAAAGGGCAGAGCTCACCTGGCCGGTGTCTGTTGGCTGCTTCAGCAGGAAGTGCGCTGCCCTGGAACCTGCGAGCTCCACTCTTCCCACCGGTTCCACCAGGATAGTGATAGATGACAGAAGCCGAACACAATCCTTCCAGGGCAGCTGGGCATTAAGAAAACAAAAACAAAAACCAGCATCATTAGGCAAGTCAGTGACCCATCATTAGCTCAAACTGCAGGGGCTAAGAATGATTTAAACAGGTGGATTATTTGGAAAAGCCAATTTTTCTCCCAAAACAGAGTTCAAACCTAAAGATCACCAGTTTTTTGCAAATGGGAACTTGCCACCTGTCTTTCCCGTGCCCATGTCCAGGCAGGCAACACAGAACACTCTCACCACACTCGAGGCTTCCCTGCAGGGCTGAGAGCACACGTGAAACAGGCCAGCCTCTGTGTTCATCCATTCACATGGCCGGCATTCCTACACAGACTGTGCGGTGTGTTCATCCATTCGCATGGCCGGCATTCCTACACAGACTGTGCGGCAGACTGCGCCAGGTTCTGGAGCTACAGAGATGTATAACGGAAAGTGCTCTGGACTGAAAATATTTCACAGTAATAGCACCAAAGCAAGACCAGAATGCCTTTCCAGACCACACGCCCCCTAGGCATCTGCTCCTTTTGGGGCTATAGACCTCCCTCTTCCTCAAAAACAGCCATGTCAACTCCCTACGCAGCCCGTTCTTCTCTCACGGCGTGACAACCTAACAATCTCCAGCTATGCCACATGCCTTATAAGGTGTGCCGCAGTATTCATCTCTATCAACTTTATCCATTAATTCAGTGGCCCTTAAACTTTTGCTCTAAAAACTCCTTGATGCTCTTAAAAATGAGGATCACAAAGAGCTTTTTTTGTGATATGGGTTACACCTGTAGATATTTACCATGTTGGAAAATAAAACTGAGAAAAGGATTTAAGTATTTATGTATTAATTTCTTTTAAAATAGGCCAGGCATGGTGGCTCATGCCAGTAATCCCAGCACTTTGGGAGGCCAAGGTGGGTGGATCACTTGAGGTCAGGAGTTTAAGACCAGCCTGGCCAACATGGTGAAACCCCAACTCTACTAAAAATACAAAAATTGGCTGGGCATGATAGCACACACCTGTAGCCCCAGCTACTCGGGAGGCTGAGGCAAGAGAATCTCTTGAACCTGGGAAATGGAAGTTGCAGTGAGCTGAGATCACGCCATCACACTCCAGCCTGGGCAACAGAGTGAGACTCTGTCTCAAAAAAATAAAAATAAAAATAAAAAATAAAATAATAAGCTTGTCATGTGTTAACATTTTTATGAAAGATAATTGTGTTCCAAAACAAAAATAAAATACTGGAGGAATGGCATTGTTTGACATGTTCATATATTTCTTTAATGTCAGAGTTAATACAAGTTAGCTGGATCTTCTATCGGCTTCTACATTCAGTCTGCTGTGATGTCAGGCATAAGTAGCTTCTGGACAACTCCCCTGTCCACTTCTGAGGGGCTGAGCATGGAAGAGACCCATGGCACACAGCACCGTCCTTCTCCGTGTGCCCTTAAGGAGTCCTCCTGATCCAGTCCAGTGCCGCATGGGGAAGGCATATGGGCGGTACCAGTCTTTCTGGAGAAGCACCTGCTGCACAGGCCCTAGTCTCAGAGCCCACTGGGAGACGCATAGATTCTCCAATCGATATAATAAGGAGTACTTAGGGAGACAGCGCTCTTTCAAGAAAACCAAGTAAAACTATGTCTTTCTCAGCCTGCTTAATCCTTTATCTGCTTCTCTTTTCTTTTCCATCCCTAATGCTCACTCCCTTTCTTTCCCCACTTTTATTTCTCTAGCCTATTTAAAAAACTAAATTTAAGTCCATTTTAAGTTTTGTTTTTGTTTTTTCTTAAGAGACAAAGTCTCACTCTTGCTCAGGATGGAGTGCAGTGGTGCGATCATGGCTCACTGCAGCCTTGACCTCCTGAGCCCAAGCGATCCTCCTGCCTCAGCCTCACAAGTAGCTGGGATTACAGGCACCGACCACCAAGCCCAGCTAATGTTTTTTAATTAGTTTATTTATTTATTTATTTTTGTAAAAGTGAGGACTCCCTATGTTGCTCAGGCTGGTCTCCACCCAGCTAATGTTTTTTAATTTTGTTTTGTAGAAGTGAGGTGAAGTAAGGTTTTTTTATTTTTTATTTTTTGTAGAAGTGTTGGGATTACAGGCATGAGCCACTGTGCCTGGCCATTTGAAGTATTTCTTATATTTGGCTGGGCACAGTGGTTCATGCCTGTAATCCCAGCACTTTGGGAGGCCAAGGCAGGCAGTTCACCTGAGGTCAAGAGTTCAAGAGCAGCCCGGCCAACATAGCAAAACCCCATCTCTACTAAAAATACAAAAATTAGCCAGGTGTGGTAGTGCATGCCTGTAGTCCCAGCTACTCAGAAGGTTGACGCAGGAGAATCACTTGAACCCAGGAGACGGAGATTGCAGTGAGCCAAGATCATGCCACTGCACTCCAGCCTGGGCAACAGAGCAAGACTCTGTCCCCAAGAAAGAAAGAATTTGTTGTATTTAATATGTTCTACAGCACCTCATTAAACTTCTGTTACAGAACTCACATCATTACTTCATTCTGACTTGTATTATCATTAAGTGGTTGACAGGCGTCCTTGTTAAACTGTCAACTTCAACGAAAGAACCCTGCTTTAGTCCTTACTCACACATTGTTCTTTTAACAAGCATTTAGGGAGCATCTGCAACATGTCAGGCAATGGACACAGCCAGTCCATCCTCCCAGGACCACCCCCAGGAGGCGCAGTCCCCAAAGGGAAGACCACACACAGACATCCAATTCCAGCACAAAGTGTCGGCAACATCTCAGGTAGAGCACCTGCTCTGCCAACTGCTGTGGGGGATCGGAGATGGCTGTGCTTTGAAGTAGGATTTCTTCTTGCCTTTCTTTTAATTTTTAAGATTGACATAGAGTTCACACACCATATAATTCACCCACTTGAAGTGTACAAGTCAGCAGTTTTTAGTACATTCACAACTGTGCAACCATCACCACTATCTGACTCTGGAACATTTCATCACCCCAAAAAGAAACCTTATGCCCGTTAACAGTCACTTCCCATTCCCCCTCTTCCCAGCCCCTAGAAATAGTCGTCTACTTTCTGCTTCTATAGATTTGCCTGTTCTAGCCACTTCATATAAATAGAACCATACAATCTGTGGCCTTTTTCATGTCTGGCTTCTCTCACTTAGCACAAAGTCATCAAGGTTCATCCGTGCTGCAGTGGTATCACAATTTCACTCCTTTTCATGGCAGAATAATATTCCGCAGTATGCCCATACCACATTTCGTTTATCCATTCATCATGTGACACATGGAGGAAGTTTTGAGGGATGAGTCTAAGAGGTGAAGATCACGGGGAATGGCATCCAAAGCAGAGGGCAAGTTAAACTAAGAACAGAGAAAAAGGGAAAGCGTGGACAGGGCCTCCTTCAGAGGACACATGGCACGGCGGGAGGAGGGCAGCAGATACGGCAGGGAAGCACCCCAGGTTGCCTGGTCATGGCAACCACCACAGGCTGGCTGCTTTTCCTCCCTCATCCCTCCTTTTTGGGGACTTTCTTTTTCCATTTCCTCTCATTTCTTTTTTTTATTTATTTATTTATTTTGAGACGGAGTCTCGCTCTGTTGCCAGGCTGGAGTGCAATGGTACAACCTCGGCTCACTGCAACCTCTGCCTCCTCGTTCAAGCAATTCTGCTGCCTCAGCCGCCCGAGTAGCTGGGATTATAGGTGCCACCACCACACCCAGCTAATTTTTTAGTAGAGACGGAGTTTCACCATGTTGGCCAGGATGGTCTCAATCTCTTGACCTCATGTTCCACCCGCCTCAGCCTCCCAAAGTGTGGGGATCACAGGCGTGAGCCACCAAGCCCAGCCTCTCATTTTAAATAACAGTTGAAACAATTACATATCAGATCATCTTCATCAGCTCATCTTACCTCCAAGCCACAGAAAGTCATTCACAGAACGCAGCAGCTCCACTGACATGTGGTAATGTACCAGGGAGTCCTGCAGCATCCCCGCCTGCAGGCACAGGTCCCCCACGTGCTTCCGCATGCGGCCTTGGCACCGCTTCTTGTAATGTCTAGAAAATAAATGAAAATGTATCTTCATTACTATACAACTCCCACCCAGAAAGCACTCTGACTAAGCACTATTCAGTTCTCTCACTACTAAAAATGCTAAGAAGGCAACTGTAGGCTCTATAATTTTAAGTCAGCAATAATCATTGCCAGTTATGTGAGCCGGAGTGGTCTTGACTTCAAAAGTGTACTCCAAGCAATTTTTTTAAAGGTGATAGGTACATAAGGACTTCTACCATGTATTTCACGTAGGCAATGTTAGAGCTGGATTTTTCTTTTTAGATTTTTCAGTTGTGACATTAGCATAAAGAACTCTATGTTTCAGCTTTTTAAAAAAAATCAACTATCTTCCACTTCTTAACATCAAACTTATTATTATTTTATAAAAAGAGCTAGGCTGCGTCTTATTAGCCAACCATTTGGCTTTAGCAAATAAGACGTTTATCCTCATTATTTCAGGGCAAGCTTTAGGAAAGCGTTCAGAGGGCAGGGCCTGGGGTGCCCACTAACAGCTCTTTAAACACTGGCAATGATATGCTATTAAATAATGCAAAGGCTTCTGAGTCCCTATCAACTCAGAAGCCAAAGCAACTGTACCAAAATATTCCTTTTATCATTTTTAAATACTTCTAATCTTTAAATGTTATATTTCTTAAGACAGATGATTTTTTTTTAAAAAGAAAAACTGCAGCTGGATTAAACTTTCCCTCATCGAGAAAGCAGTCTTATCAAGAATGAAACTCCTTTGGAAATCCAGAGGATGTGACGTTTTTTAAGTAAATGAATGTTACTGACACATCTCAATATAATGTTAAATCCTATCATGTCTAACTCTAACGAGTTACAAACTCTTTGTTACTCTGGAATTTAGCTTTTCCATTCTATATATGTTTGGAATAAAGATCATGATGTAAGGCAGATGCAGAAAGAAGGAGAAATGCCAGCCTTCCTTTGTCTCCTTCCTGGCCACAAGGCAGTGTCAGGATGGCCCCTGCTAACAGACCCTCACCATAAGAAAATACAGCATCTGGCAGGGCACAGTGGCTCACATCTGAAATCCCAGCACTTTGGGAGGCCGAGGCGGGCGGATCACGAGGTCAGGAGATGGAGACCATCCTGGCTAACATGGTGAAACCCTGTCTCTACTAAAAATACAAAAAATTAGCTGGGCGTGATGGCGGGTGCCTGTAATCCCAGCTACTCAGGAGGCTGAGGCAGGAGAATCACTTGAACTCAGGAGGCAGAGGTTGCAATGAGCCGAGATCACGCCACTGCACTCCAGCCTGGGGGACGGGGTGAGACCCCGTCTCAAAAAAAAAACAAAAAAAAAAAAGAAAAGAAAGCATCTGAGCTGCTCCTCCCATCCCAACAGCAGTCACCTCAGCAGCCTCCGCCTAGTCTCGACTCCCCACTCTGCACCCCCTTCCCTTCATTGCTGCTATACACACACAGCCAGAGTGTCCTTCCCAAAGCACAAATTGGTCTGTGTTCCTCCTGCACTGCAAACCTTTCACAGGATGCTCAATTCAGTCGTAGGGAGAGGCATGCAGTCCACAGCCAGCCCCTCCCACAGCTCTGACCTCCCCTCCTACCACTGTGCCCTTGCACTCCACAGGCAACCTTGCTGCAATGCTGAAGGCCCCCGACCTCAGGCTCCGTCTGCCTCACAACTTCAACTCTCTTTTAGGCTCATCTCAATGACCAGTTTCTCAAGGAAGCCTTCCCTGACTCCAACCTCTGCACTTTGGGTTAAGTGTCCTTAATGTGTTTCTCGAACATTGTTACTGTTTTTTTTGTTATTGTTGTTGTTGTTGTTGTTTTGAGACAAGGTCTTGTTCTGCTGCCCAGGCTGGAGCCCAGTGGCACAATCACAGCTCACTGCAACCTCCAACTCCTGGACGCAAGAGATCCTCCCCACTTCTGCCTCCCCAGTAACTGGGGCCACAGGTGTGCACCACAACACCTGGCTAATCTGTTTTTATTTTTTGGAGAGATAGGGTCTCCTTATGTTGCTCAAGCTGGTCTTGAACTCCTGGGCTCAAGTGATCCTCTTGCCTCAGTCTCCCAAAGAGCTGGGATTACAGGCATGAGTCACCGTGCCCAGCCAGCTCTTACTCTCAAAGGTAGACAGTGTTTTGCTCACTTCCTTGGTAGGTTATCCTGTTCCAAATGGGAAAAAAATTCAGTATCCAAATGGACATTTTCCTCCACCGGTAACATAACTGTCAACTCTTAATATATGAAAAAGTTTACAAATACTACTGCATATTAGTTTAATACATTTTAAATTAGACTTAAAAGCAACAACAAAACTTTACTCTTAACCAATCAGAAAAAGCTTTGCTTTAGAACATCCTAAAGAAGTAAATTAGGCCAGGCATGGTGGCTCACACCTGTAATACCACTTTGGGAGGCCAAGGCAGGAGGATCACTTAAGGCTAGGACTTCGAGACAGCTGGGCAACAGAGCAAGACCATGTCTCTACAAAGGTTCAGGTGATCCTCCCACCTCAGCCTCCCCAGTAACTGGGACTACAGGCGCACAACCCCTTGCTCAGCTAATATTTATATTTTTCGTAGAGACAGGGTCTCGCCATGTTGCCCAGGTTGGTCTGGAACTCCTGGGCCCAAGCAATCCACCTGCCTTGGCTCCCAAAGTGCTATATTTATAGGCGTCAGCCACTGTGCCCAGCCTACAAAAAAATTTTTTTAATTAGCTGGGTATGGTGGCTCCCACCTGTAGTCCCAGCTACTCAGGAGGTAGAGGCAGGAAGATCACTTGAGACCTGGAATTCGAGACTGCAGTGAGCCATGATTTTGCCACTGCTCTCTAATCTGGGCAACAGACCAAGATCCTGTCTCTTAAGAATAAGAAAGGAGTACATTATTACATCTTCACATGAACTTCACAAAAGTGTACACCTGCTATAGCAGAATATAACCCACAAAATTTCAAAAATATTTTTCTACTAGCATCTTCTAAATTAAATAAATAACTTGTTTTTAAAAGTGCAAACATTATGATAAACAATTTGTTTCGAAGACAGGACTTCTACAAAAAGAAGTCATACAAATACTCTTATAGTTTTTCATATGAAAGTCATGATACAATAAAACCATACAAATATTTTAAATTGTATAAAAACAAAATGAGCCAGGTATGGCTCATGCCTGTAATCCCAGGTGGTGGCTCATGCCTGTATTCCCAGGGACTCGAGAGACTGCCATGGGAGGATCCCTGGAGGTCAGGAGTCAAAGACCCACCTAAGCAACACAGGAAGACCCTGTCTGTATAAGAATTTTAAAAATTAGCCAGGCCTGCAGTCCCAGCTACTCAGGAGGCTGAGGCAGGAGGATCCCTTGAGCCCACGAGTTTGGAGCTGCAGTGAGCTACGATTGCGCCACTGTGCTCCAGCTGGGTGACAGAGCAAGACTCTGTTTCAAAAAAAAAAAAAAAAGAGGCCAGGAGCAATGGCTCACGCCTGTAATCCCAGCACTTTGGGAGGCCGAGGTGTGTGGATCACCTGAGGTCGGGAGTTCGAGACCAACAGGGAGAAACGCCCCTCTACTAAAGATACAAAACTAGCTGGGCGTGGTGGAGTATGCCTGTAATCCCAGCTACTCAGGAGGCTGAGGCAGGAGAATCACTTGAACCCAGGAGGCAGAGGTTGTGGTGAGCCAAGATCGCACCATGGCACTCCGGCCTGGGCAACAAGAGTGAAACTCCACCTCAAAAAAAAAAAAGAAATTGGAATTAAGAATTGACAGAAAAATCAATAAGAATCGGATAATCCCCTAATCCATACTGCTCTAAAAGCAAGAATTATGTATACCTATATAACAAACCTGCACATTCTGCACATGTATCCCAGAACTTACTTAAAGTATAATTTTTTAAAAAAGTAAAAGAAAATTTTTTTAAATTTAAAAAAAAGCAATAATTAAATTATAGGCAAAAACCTGACAGTCTCGGCTGAAAAAGGGAGATGCATCCCTTCTGGAAGCTGCAAAAAACGCCCATTACACAGCTTCAAACACTGTAACAGAAGGCACCCAAGCTGCACTTCCTCTCTGCACTTAACACTAATTAAATTTAATCAGAGATATAGGCTGTATTATTTTCATGACTCTTAATCAGATTAAAGAAGAGAATGGGCCGGGCGCGGTGGCTCACGCCTGTAATCCCAGCACTTTGGGAGGCCGAGGCGGGCGGATCATGAGGTCAGGAGATCGAAACCATCCTGGCTAAGACCATCCTGGCTAACATGGTGAAACCCCGTCTCTACTAAACATACAAAAAATTAGCCGGGCGAGGTGGTGGGCACCTGTAGTCCCAGCTACTCGGGAGGCTGAGGCAGGAGAATGGTGTGAACCCGGGAGGTGGAGCTTGTAGTGAGCTGAGATTGCACCACTGCACTCCAGCCTGGGCGACAAAGTGAGACTCTGTCTCCAAAAAAAAAAAGGAAGAAAATGCTTAATATGTTTGTGATTTTGGTACTATTTATATGGCTTATGGAAAACAAGAGCTTGGTATTCTAGTCCAAAAAACAATTTATCTGCAAAGAAATTCCTATATTCAAATCCAAAGAAAAGCTAAAGCTGCTCAACAACAACAGTTTTCAATTAAAATCCAAGGGAACCTGGATAAAGAGAATGTCTTTTGCAAGGTCGGGGATGGTATTACATAGTTTAAGAAGTCCTTGGGCCTGGTGAGGCGGCTCACGCCTGTAATCCCAGCACTATGGGAGGCTGAGGCAGGCGGATCACAAAGTCTAGAGATCGAGGCCATCGTGGCCAACATGGTGAAACCCTGTCTCTACTAAAAATACAAGAATTAGCTGGGCATGGTGGGGTGCACCTGTAGTTCCAGCTACTCGGGAGGCTGAGGCAGGAGAATCACTTGAACCCGGGAGGCAGAGCTTGTAGTGAGCTGAGATGGCACCACTGCACTCTGGCCTGGCAATGGAAAGAGACTCCATCTCAAAAAAAAAAAAAAAAAGGGC